GATTCAGCATATCAAAGAACCCCATATATTCAATTTTTGTTGAAATCAAACAAAGTTTAATTTTGGACCCCAATTTGGACCAACTTGAAAACTGGGCCCGAAATCAAAAATCTAAATACATGTTTAGATTCAGCATATCAAAGAACCCCATATATTCAATTTTTGTTAAAATCAAACTAAGTTTAATTTTGGACCCTTTGGACCTTAATGTAGACCAATTTGAAAACTGGACCCTAAATTAAAAATCTAAATACATGGTTAGATTCAGCATATCAAAGAACCCCATATATTCAATTTATGTTGAAATCAAACAAAGTTTAATTTTGGACCCCAATTTGGACCAACTTGAAAACTGGGCCCGAAATCTAAAATGTAAATACATGTTTAGATTCAGCATATCAAAGAACCCCAAGAATTCAATTTTTGTTAAAAATCAAACTAAGTTTAATTTTGGACCCTTTGGACCTTAATGTAGACCAATTTGAAAACTGGACCCCAAAATTAAAAATCTAAATACACAGTCAGATTTGGCATAACAAATAAATAAATGTGGTCAAAGATTTTACAAATCTAATGCGCCATACTGTGCAATTAAAGATTACTTCTTGAAATTTTTCAATATTTGAAATTTGAAAAAAAATAATATTTGAAGAATAATTCTTTTTAATTTCTGAAATCTGAAATGAGAAAATTGACCCCCCACAATTTCTTTTTACCCCTCCCCCCCCCCCTCGCCTTTTCCCCCAAAAAATTCTTTCCCTCAAGATATGGTCATAATCTCAATTCAAATTTCCAATGGAATTTGCAACTATAATTACCCATTTAAATTTACCATAGTGCTATCTTAATCTATTTTATAATAGAATTTAAAATATGGTGTCAAATCTTTCATATGGATTTTTTTGTAAAAAAAAAATAAGATGCAACATTTGCAGATATTTTTACTGGTCTTCCTTTATAAATATGCATTTCTTTAAACATAATTTAAAAGCAGTGTAAGGGAAGTAATCAAAACGTTGTATGTGGATTACCTCCCTTACACTGTTTTAAATTGTCTTAATTGTTCATTAACCATTACTTTATACATAATTTAAAAGCAGTGTAAGGGAGGTAATTCTAATGATGAATTTGATTTATCTCCCTTACACTGCTTTAAATTATGTTTTGTACTAAAGTATTTGTCCATATAAAAATGCTTGTTTTTTGCCCCTTTTTTGGCCCCTAATTCCTAAAATTTTGAGGCAATTACCCCCAAAATCAATCCCAGCATTCCCTTTGTGATATGGAACCTTGTGGTACAATGTCAGAGAGATCCATACACTAACACACAAGTTATGTCTGGAAGTTACAAAAATGCTTATTTTTGGCCCCTTTTGGCCCCTAATTCCTTAACTAATGGTACCATTACCCCCAATATCAATCCCCACCTTCCTTTTGTGGTATTGAACCTTATGGTAAAATTTCATTTAGATCCATACACTTAAACTTAAGTTAGAGTGCGAAAACTAATGTGTCTTCGGACGACGACGCTGGACGACGACGACGACGACGCCAACGTCATACCAATATACGACCACAAAATTTTTTTTGCGGTCGTATAAAAAGGAGTAAATCATGATAAAAACGTTGATGACGTCACAGTCACATGACTAAATTATGTCTATGAGCTGATAGACAAAACACTTTCAGCCAATCAGAATACGTGTTACATCCAAAATTAAATTATAGAAAAATATCATAAATCATGAAAATCTACGAAGCATAAGTGTCATGAGTGTGGAAATAGAATGTCGTCAAGAAATATCCTACTGAACCATTTAACAATAGTCAACTGTTTTACTGACATCCACTCTGGGCATTGAACCTTTCTTTTTCAATTATCATTTTGGTGTTTTGTTTTAATTAATTCAAATTTCTTAAATATTTCAAAATATTTTTAATGATTGTGTTTTTTTTCTTATTTATACGTTCTTACATTACAACATGTACAATAGCAGGGTATATCAATTATCATATGTGCTGTCCCTCTATACATGCTATACATGCTATAGAACTATTTGGAAAATAAGATTAGATGGGCAGCACATATTTATTACTGTAATTGTAAGATCGTATAAATAGGAGCAAAAACACAACATTTAAAGGGGCACTAGCTACGAGATATATAAAAAAATTTCTTGTTCAATCATTAATGAAAGTGAAATAGTGAAATAATAATTCGCTTTTAGCAGCAATGTATGGTTTAATTTTGTCAAAATAAGCTAAGAAACATTGATGATGAATTATTCACTTGCAAGTGAATAATTCGACCTCATTCAATCAGTATTCATGTGACCTTCTATTCAATTTAACCCTTTAGCTAGAGATTGATTACGCATGAATTAGGCATGTTCAGTTATTAAAAGGAAAAGAATGTCAACATTGAAAGTGAAACAAAGGTAAATCATTTGATTGACTGATTCGATCCGCAAAAACTCATTCTTATACAGGTAAAAACGATGATTAACATATTTTTAACCTATAATATGGAATTACCGGTAAACAGACCTAGAAAAATCCAATTGCACGAGTTTGCTATCTATTTATATCTATATTTATGTCTATATCGCTTATATGACCGTCAGCAGTCTTCGGAGGTCAACTCATGATCAATAGTTAATTAGATGGTGTCTAGACTAAAATACACACTAAACGATGATACATATTATCGAGCCCATGTCTTGTAAATTGTTTATTTTAGACTTTTTATAATTTGGATATACGTTTTAGTATGTTATAAATCAAATATGAGAATTTGAGTCAAATCGGTGAACATGAATTTGACAGCCAATGCACCTTTAAGTGAGTTTTCACTTAGGGATGAAAAGGTTGATACGATTGGACACTTTAAATTGACTCAAGAAAAAGCTGAATAACAGATACACCAAAATACAGACAATATGTCATTAATTAAGATAAAAGGTTTCAGAGAGTAATTTGTGCCGATTTTGGGTTTAAGAACAAGCTATGTGAGCCTGCGGTGGAAGTGGAATTTAATTGGAATATGTACCTTAAAGTTTATGGTCTATTAATGTACACATATGGTCTGGCCTGTTTATACCCAAACAACTCTATACTCATAAGGTATGTCTAAATGCATGGTCATGACCATACATGTAGGGTCAAAATACTCATATGGTTTGGAACATATACATGTTTTAGAACAATATGAAAAGTTATTTCTGAATCTCCTATGGCCAAAATGCCTCTGGCCGAACTGGCCGAAACGTCTGAAAAGCCAGCTTCTCAGTCAAGTCTTCTTCTTCTTCCATATACTGCCCACATTCAACATGATGAATATTCTGGCAAGCTGCGCATGATTAAAAACAGGTTAAAAACAGGATAAAAACAAATTGTTCTGTTGATTTAGTTTGTGGTTTTGGTGACTTGAGACTTGAATATCTCAAGAGACTTTGCTGTGGCGGTATCTGGTGGCAGTTTGTTCCAATCCTTGACGGTGTTTATGAAGAAGGACCATTTCCTACAGTCTTTGGTGGCTGGCTGTAATAGGTAAGTATGTTGTCCTGTCCGGTTTGAGCTTCTTGTTGGTTTTTGTAGATATTTATTCTTGTCTATGGCTACAAGGTCGTTTGTTATTTTGTAACACATGATGAGTCGTGCTTCTTTTCGTCTTGTTTGTAAGCTTTTCCATCCTAATTCATTTATCATGTTGCTGACACTTGATCTATTTCTATGTCAGCTGGTTACATATCGTGCAGCTCTTCTTTGTACCTTTTCAATTTTATCTATGTGGTTTTGCTGGTACGGGTCCCATACTGTCGTGGCGTATTCCATTTGCGGTCTTACTAATATTTTATAGGCATGCTCTTTGATGGATTTTGAGCTAATGTGGAGGTTTCGATGTAGGATCAAGTGTCACAGATTCCCAAGGTAATTTACAGCAGAATGCATTGAGTGTGTAGGTAAAGGTAATATCTTTGGTTAGCTTGCTTGCTAGCTGAACCGTGAAGTCATTATTAGGTTAGGTAAACTACCCTCCTTTAAGGTTCATCATAACAAATGGACAAATATGGCCGTATTTTCACCTCAAAAACTACTCTGTGTACAGACTTACCTGTGCAGTTTGGAAAGTTTTAAGGCCTGGCATCCACTAGATATATAAAAGTTAAATCTATTTTGCATATCAGAAAGATAAAAAAAAATTTTGAATATGATGGGCATTTTTTTTCCTTCCTGCAGAAGGTGTAAAAATAAACAAACACCTGAATTGCATTTGATACTGTCCACTCAGTTACTACCTTTAACTCACCTATAGATGTGTAGATATCTATTGTCCATGCCAATCAAGGACAATCAATACAATACAAATCAGTTGTTACCTGAGATGGAGCATCTCAAAGTTATATCCCAACTTAGTTTATTTTTACACCTTCAGCAGGAACGGAAAAGAATGCCCATCATAATCCAAAAAAGATTTTATATTTCTGATATGCAAAATAAATTTAACTTTTATACATCTAGTGGATGCCAGGCCTTAAAACTTTCCAAACTGCACAGGTAAGCCTGTACACAGAGTAGTTTTTGAGGTGAAAATACGGCCATATTTGTCCATTTGTTATGATGAACCTTAAGAGTAGACTAGTCCGACAGATAACCAATCTATTTATCTGTAGCCAGTGTAGGACTAGACTACTCCGAAAGGAGGGTAGTATACCTAACCTTATAATAACTTCACGGTTCAGCTAACAAGCAAGCTAACCAAAGATTATATACCTCCAACTACACACTCAATGCGTTCTGCTGTAATGTTTTATATATTTCTGCCTCTGCCCTGGTTTTGTATTTTCGATTTGTGCTGTTTCTTTTAAAATTACAAAATTTTGTAATTTTAAATCGGACCAGGAACATATATATTGACGTTTGATATACTGTTCCCAGATAGGACTTGGTTCCGCAACCATTATACATATAGATAAAATGTTTCCTTTTGTTTGATTTACCTTTACTTCTTGTGCCTGCATTCAAACTTGCCATTTCTATTCGGTTTCACTTTGTGAGACCGATGACACTGGCTAAAAGATCAGGGTACGGCAGCGGTGCACTTTCCCAGAACCATTACTTGTGCAGAACCGGAGTACGTTCTCAGAACCAATATAAGTCTTGCGCAGATATGTCTTTGATTGACATCTCACTCCCGTAAAATTAAGACAGATAACAACGACCCTGAAAGAAAACATTAAAGTTGTTTGCATTAACAGAGCCGGCGTAATAAAAATGTCTACGTGGTGATTACTTTACCATGTGAGGTTATATTAGCTATAAATTAAAATTTTATATGAATTACAAATTAGTATTTAAGTGAAATAAGCAGCCGACAAACGATTGTAATTTTACAAATATAGATTTAAGTTAATTAGAAAAACAGGAGATGATGTAAAAACATCAGAGATAGATAACCCCAACATTAAATAGGTCAATTTCAATATGATATAGCTCTCTTATTTTTATCAAAATACATAATATGTATTTATACCCCACACTAGCTGACACGAATGATACATGAAACAACCGTTCGATATCGTGTTAAAACAAATATTTATTTTTTTCAAGTTGCAACAACCGTGACAATATTTAAAGGAATCCCCTCCCAACTCAACCAAAAGAAAGATTAATAAGTCAGTTCTTTAGAGACGTTACACATTTGATAATGTGTACGAAGATAAGTTTTGATGTTAAGATTTTACTAATATAAACAATCCTTTAGTCCTATCAGTGTCTGTATCTTTGTCACTGCCCCCTAGGGAACCTTAATTGGAACAAACACACATTGTATTGTATTGTATAATGTATTGTGTAGTGTATATTTTATAATTTACTCAGTACAAGATTTAGAGTATTCTTCAACAGTTTGCGAATTTGCGAGCGATGCCCCCGGAAATGAAAGTAGTGATTTTTATTTCATTTTTTTTCAAATTGCCATTGGGTCACTTCCAAATATTCATTTCATGAATATGTTTCTTTTGAATTTCTTTCAGTATCTTCTCACCTTCTCTTCCAATTCCTTTCAGGGGCTTTTCCGTGTTGTCCCCTGAACTAACAGTAGAAAATATTTTTTTTACAATTTTAATGTCAATGGATACCACAGCTAGGTGACATTGAGTTTTACCCCAATCCCAATAAAAGTGTGCATTATTCAATCAATGAAAATTATTCAAACAACATTTTGTGTAGCCGAGCTAATTTTTTACATATAATTCATTAACACTGAGACTACTATAACACAGAGATTGGTCACTTCCCGTACTGACCAGTCAAATAGTAATTAATTGTAAGTCTTCGATCACGTGACTCGGCACGTGACTCGCAATGATTGACAAGAAGGATTCGACCGCCATTTTTGACAGCTAAAGAGAAAATAATAATTAACAAATGTGGATTTATAAAGAGTGTTATGTTCCGGTAAGTGTGAATATAAGATTTGACATGTTCATAAATGTTGGTTTATAAGCACTTTAAATAAAATAAGTGCAGTTATAGACTTGAATTTACCGACCAAACCGGAAAGTAACCTCGAGTTATTACCAGTCCGTGGGACAGGGTCAATGAGCAACTCACCCATAACTTACATTCAGATGAACAATCTGTTTTCCGGATAATGTATGTGCAAGCCTTAGTAATTAACCGATGTAATGATGTAAAATTTGTAATTATATGAAATTCCAATTTTTCTGTATCAGTAAGTTCCCGCTGCAGAACTGAGAAACACACGAGACAAGTTTCACACACACAACATGAGGTTTGATAGGTGAATTTGTATTGTTAGTGAAAGAAATTTAGATTTATATTTGGTTCCCTTGATAATATATATGCTAGTATAATAATATTATGCAATGAAAATGTGTCACCATGTGAAATACCAGTACATCATGAGTTCCTAAATAGACTTTTTTTTTTAAATAATTCACCCAAACATGATGTAAAAAGTACATGCACCATAAAATTAATGAATTGCCTATGCTATAAACTTGACAAAGATTATTTCTTTTTATTTATAATATATTCTTTATTGTAGGAACACCCCCAGAAAGAAATCACGCATTAGAAGAAGGGAGAAGTACTACAGGAGAAAATGACTTTTTTTAGTAATTTTTTTTTAATTTCATTGAATTTGTCATGCTTGTCTTACATGGAGAAATAAATATTTAAGTCTTTGAATATACAGTTTTATTATTATATACATTAAAACTAAGACAGGAATGCAGAAATTCACTAACACGCTCAGTTTGGATAACAGTTCAATGAAAGAAAAAAAAAAGTAACCACACATCTTTATATATTAAAGGAATAGCCACTTGAAGCAAACTTTAAGGAGATTTTTATATTTTTTTGCTAATGATCATCAGACAACTCCTTTAGTCCAAATGAAGTTCAATGAAGTGGATGTAAGTTATTGGAATGCACTGTAATTACCTTCAACAATGAGAAAACATATACCGTGCAGTCAGCTTCAAAGGTCCCCGACATGGAAAATATATAACAATTCACTAGAGAAAACGAAGTGTCTACAATAACAAAGCAATTTACGAAAATTCAAATATGACGGACATGAACCAACAGCAACCACTGAATTACAGGCTCCTGACTTGAGACGGGCACATAAAGAATGTGACAATGTTAAATATTTTTAGGCGCTCGTCACCACCACTGGCATGGGACATTGGTGTAACGACATAACATAAAAACAAACTTTAAACATAATTTGAAAATAGTTCATTTCGGTTTAATCAGGCTGACTGTACATGAAATATTTGCCATTGACAAGCAGTTGTGAATCGAAGTTGAATTTACAGAAAGGTGACATCAATATATGCTATCATATTTAACATTATTGTTTAGATCTGACATTGCTACGTATTTATACATTCCACATTATTTTGGCTTCTCAGAATTTTCACATGGTAAACTGTCAGCAGTTACCCAACAAAAAAATGTTATAGGGAACCTATTTACAAAGCATCATGCCGACAACAATTAACATGGTTTGTCACCAAACATTGAACAAGCACATTTATATTTGCTGTGGCTAAAAAAACTAAAGCAAATCACAACTCTTTTCATCTGAGTTGCTCAATAATTAGGGTTACAAAAAGCATAGCGATATAACTAAAACATACGACACTTTAACAATAGACAAAAACTTTACGGCTCTGTATTGAAGCACAAAATTTCTTGTCTTGGATTTTGAAAGAGGGCACATATTTCTGGTGTTGAAAAAATGTCATCGTAATTTACACTTATGTGGTTCTATTTATGTTAACATAGAGATAATTTGATTATTCAGTCACGTAATTTTGAAGCTTCTTCGTTCTGATTTACATGTACTTGCGGTTGATGCTTCTTTTGGAGTTTTTGTAGTTTTTGCAGTCTTTGCAGCAGGGACGTATAGTCATCCTCCGATTCAATATCTGATGCAGTATATTCACCACGAAAAAGATCAAGATTGAGATCACTATCATCCCAAGATAAAAAATCAATGTTACTGGACATTGTGAATTGAAAAATGAAAATGCCGGCGATATTTTGGGAACATATATATAATTTGTAGGGCTTATGTTTGCTTTATGTATCCATTGCAGTTATAACCTCTTTGCTGATCTGTTACGTAAGGAAATTACTCATTTACCTTTAATGAAATTTTTTCTCTCTTCTGTGATCGCCGCTTACTACATTGTTTGCAAAAACTTGACCTAATTATCAGACGGAAATTTTAAAAAAGTGTGGGGGGGGGGGTTGGAACTTGTTTGAAAAAAAAATTACGTTGGATAATCTGAATGAGGGTCTGGATGGGGGTTCTTTATTTCTATAATTTCTATGTCATTTTTCTCTATTCTTTAAATCTTAATAACTTATTATTTTCTCTTCTCTATTCTTTATTTGTCGGTCCATTTTTCTCCATTCTATACTTTTTTTGCCCCTATTTCTCCATTCTATAAAACCCCATCCACACCCTCCTGAATCCTACCACAAGTGCACCGACGATATTTGACAAGGTTTACTACAATAAACATGTATATTGGGCACTCAGCAGTGAAATACCTTACAAGTATAGAATAAAAGTTTACTGCAATAAACGGAGCCTCGTGTACCTTGGGCACCCAGCTGTGAAATAAAATTCATCTCCTTTGCTTTTGAAACTACCTGTCTTTACAGGTAAAATATTTGTATATTAGATACAATTAACGGACGTGTAGCAAAACAATGTAACTGTAAGATTGATAAGATTTATAAATCACATTCACATTTTCAAGAGTGGCCGCATAATAACAAACTATTAACAAATTATTAATGATTAAAAACAAAAATTTAAATATGAATAGAGATAACTGCATTTGAAAGATAAAAACTATATTCTTTTTTTTTTGTGATTAATTCAATTTTGTTTTTAAATTATTTTTGAAAGAAAAATAATAATATCCGATACTGTTAAAATAACGTAGCTAACTACCGGAGACTCAGATAATCCGATAAATCTATAGTGACCAATCTCTGTGTTATAGTAGTCTCAGATTAACATATCAAACGGTAAGGAAAGAAGCGATATAACGTATAAATATAATTTTAGTTATACTGATCATATGTGTAAAACAGTTGCTTGGATTAGAATACTTTTATCTATTTGTGAGAAAAAATGTTGGTTCTGACAAGGCTTACTTGTTTTTACTGTATATAACGAAAAGTTGTAGCAGGTCACTACCTAAAGTCTTCATAAAAAGACAACTATTCAAAAAAAGTATTGACGTATTTACTTAAAATAACGATTTGTTCCCGAGGAGGAAACGACAAAAAGTCTACATAGAAATTTTGGTTCTGACAAGGTATAATAATTCTTGATTTTCAAAGTTATTCTGAAAAGGTATATGAGAAAGTCTGCATAGAAAGAAAATTATTCCGAAAAGGTATTGTTATATTTTCTGGAACAAACGGTCTGTTCCGAGAAGGTAACGATCTTAAGTATAAATAAAAAGTTATGATAAGGTATTGTTTTTAGTTTAAATAACAGTTCGTTTTGTGGAGACTACACTTTAAACATTAGTTAATAACATTTGGTTCTGACAAGGTACTGAGGAGGTAACGATATTAAGTCTACAGCACATAGAAATTTTGGTTTTTACTGTAAATAACTGTTGTTTCTGAGGAGGCACCGACATAAAGTTTTCTTAGAAAATTTGGTTCTGACAAGGTACTTATGTTTTTACTGTAAATTAAGGTTG